TTGTGTGTGTGGGTGTGTTTAAGTGTGTGTATGGATGTATCTGTATACATCCTCTCTGTTTATTCTCTCTTTCTCTAGACACGTATTTCTAAGTATTCATCAATCCATTTGATTGTATTTTTATATACAAAGCTGGGAGCCTAACTACAACTGCTCACTCAATAATCCTTTGTATACAGGTTTTCTCCGTATGTATTTCATAAAATACATACACTCTAGTCACTTTTTGAGATGTCTCATTTGAGCTACTGTATGAAATTCTTTACACATCCTGGTATAATTTATGAACACACTCCTGTTTGTGTGTGTAATCATATGTTTGTGCATTCATATAGATGTGTATGTATATGCGTGTCTACATGTGTATTTGAGTGCGTGTGGGAGCCAGCGGAAATGCTCTGAAAGGTCGGCCAGCGGGACGCGGCGGACGCGGACGCGCCTCCACGGATGACGCGGACGCTACGCCGCGGCTTCTGACTGACCTTCCGTCCTGGTATATAAAGCCAAGAAAATGTTGCTTCGATGCAGTTCGGGTCTTCGATCGGGAAACAATCATGACGCCTCTGGTAATGACAGCAATGCAATGTTCGTTTCAGAAGGGACAGTGGCAGTGAAGCTGTGCATGATGCTTGGTCTGTGGAAGTTTAAGAAATGGAAAAGCCTTCAAGTGCATTACCTTTTTCCGCAAAAATGAGACTTTTTAGTCTTTCTAAGCATAATGTATGATCAAAATGACATAAAACACCAAACAATGAAATTCTTCTTTCGCAGGTCTTCTTGGCAGTGCTGGGAGTGTGCTCGGCTGGTCCCTTCACGGATACACCCCCGAAGTGCAGGCTGAGAGAGCACGCTTCTTCCAGAGCTTCAGTGCTGCTCAGGCTGCCGCCGCTCCCAGCAGGCCTACTACCACCATGCTGCCGCCCCTCAGCAGGCTCTGTACCACCACGCCGCCCCCGTGCAGCCCAAGTGGACTGGCCCCGTGGCTGCCACCGTCCCCGCCGGCGTCGACGGCACCATCACCCCGTCAGCGACACCCACGAGGTGGCTGCCGCCCGCAACGCCTTCAACAGCGCCTACCAGGCACAGCTGAGGGCCACCGTGGGTGCCGTCCCTGCCGTCCACGCTCACGCCCCCACCACCGTCCCCGCCCACCACACGCCCCCTACCCCACGCCCCAGCTTCCACCACGCCGCCCCAGTCCAGCCCAAGTGGACTGGCCCCGTGGCAGCCACCGTGCCCGCCGGACTCCCAGGCTCCGCCCCCCAGGTCGCTGACACCCCGAAGTCGCCGCCGCCAAGCAGCAGTTCTTCAGCACCTACAACAGGCAGGCGGCAGCTGCGGCGCCCCCTCGAGGCACTACTACTAGACCCTACTGCCATAATGTATATAATAAAGTAAAATAAAATGAAGAGATTCATCGATATTATTTGGCATCATTTTCAGCAATCGATAATATACACACAAAAATATATAAATAGAAATACACAATATTCACACCATAACTACTACATATCCGAACAAGATACAGATATATATATATGCAAACACACACTTGAACTCAACCCACTCTTTGAAAATACGAAATAAAAAATCAGAGAAGAATGAAACAGCTGACAATGAACAGACAGGACCTGAATCTACCAGTGAAATCTTGCGCGAACTCGGCCCTTCCATCGCGTCGTGCGGAGGGACTTCCAGGCGTCGGGGTCAAAGCGGGAAAGGGGTCAAGCAGGGTCACGAGGCCAGAGACGGAACGCTCAAAGGGATGCTAAATAAGGCGACAGAACGATTTATCTAACTTTTTTTTCCGCTGTTTCAAGGAGTCATTGTTCACGACCCACAGCTGTCACTTTCTCAAGTAAGTGCATGTTCGATACTGTCTCTCTCTCTATCTGTCTGTCTGTCTGTCTGTCTCTCTCTCTCTCTCTCTCTCTCTCTCTCTCTCTCTCTCTCTCTCTATATATATATATATATATATATATATATATATATATATATATATATATATATATACATATAGTGTATGTATGTATATATGTGCATGAGTGTGCGTTTGTGTGTGTGTACATATATATACACCTATATACACATCATATAACGATTCAAAATTTTCCCTCTTCACATTCATCACAAGCCCTCATAACAAGGCTTGGAAACATGAGGCTGTTCTCACCCACAGCCTTTCTCCTTCCTCCCCGCAGCTTTTTGTCAAGCTTCGACTAAAACTTGACTTCAGTCGATACTGCTTTTTGATAAGGAATCGTATCAATGATAACATGTTTCCGAGGTGCCTTCGGTATGATACTTTTTTGAAAAATATTCTTTTATGATCGTTTACTAATTACGTTTAATATATATGAAATTTCTGTTCCCAGTTTTTCCGCCTTGTTGGTAAGTGTCATTCTGAAAATTAATGACTTCAATCCATTATCGTTTTAATTAATTTGACGCTTTAATTAGACGTGATTCAAGGGTACATCTGATATGGCATATTTACAAT